GGGGTAAAAGGGAACCCTGTTCCAAAAAAAAAAAAAAAAAAAAAAAAAAAAAAAAAAAAAAAAAAAAAAACAGGGGCTAGAGAGATGGGTCAGTAGTTAAAGAGTTCTTACAGAGGACCCAGGTTCAATTCCCAGCTCCCACAACCGTCTGTAACTCCAGTTCCAGATCACCCTCTTCTGACTTCTGTGGGCACTACACAATATGCGTGTACTTACACATGAGTCAATTCACTCATCCACACAAAAAATAATTTTAAAAATTGTAAAAACAAAAACTAAGATGGAAAAGTAATTGAGGAAGATATCCATATCAACCTCTGGATTCCCTATGTGTGCACCCACATGTATACACAGACTTACTAAGGAAAATGTGTGTATATTTCTGAAAAACAGATCTTTGATTCTGATACATGTTCAAAGAGCCACAGTCCTAATGACTGCAGCATTGACCTCAACATGACTGTCCCTCAACCACTCCCCCTCTGGGCTCCACTCCTCTCCAGCCTTTAGCCTCCAGATTTTGCTTCTCATCCTCGCTCAGAGATGTGTTAAAATGAACACATGGCACCCAAGCCATACTCCACATTTACAGTGGTCTTAGGAAAGTCATATGGCCTCGGGAAGCCTCCTGTATTACTTCATACACTGGAGGCAGAATGTCTTCCAGGATTGATGTAAGATTAAATGTATGTCGAATGTTTAATGCCACATTGGAGACCTAATAACTCACTGCACAATAATTATTAACCTATTTCAAGATACCAGTGTTGCCTGGGATTGACAGGACATGCTTGTAATCCTAGCACTTTGGAGGCTGAGATAGAAGGATCAGTTAAATATCAGTGTGGTCTATACAGCCAAGTTCTAGGTCAGCCAGGGCTACACAATGTGAAAAGAGAAAAGAAAATCAAGGCAATGACAAGGATAAACATGCGCACTATATACCAGCTCCACATCTATGGTCACCAAATTCAACCACTGACAGTGATACCAGCCCCATGTCAGGTATACCACAGGGAAGATGAATGAGCAAAGGAATTCTATTCTAGCTATTTCAAGCAAACCACAGAAATATATGCATGGGACTAAACCCACTTGTATTTTTCTTCATGACAATTTCATTTATAATTGTGAAGAGATTCAGCAAAGGTAAAGAACAACAACAAAAATAGATAAAATACAATTCATCAGAATCAGAAACTTTTCCGGGACTGGGGATTAACAGCACATGCTTAATGCATAAGACATCCTGCTTTTGATGTCAGATACCCCACAAAACAAAGGAGACCCTTCCATTTTGGGGGGTTGA